GAAAAGCGTAGCGGGCGCCCCGGCGCCGAGGGCGGTGGGGGACGTGCCGGGGCGGGAGCTCGCCGGTTGCCGCTGTCCCACACCGTAGCGCGATGCTGATCGGCAGCGCCGCGTCCCCAGTAAACTCCGGTGAAGTCAAGGATGAGACTGGCTCTCAAAAATGTATCCCCCGTGTTGTCGTCTAACCTTAGCACAGCACGGCAGTTAAGTGTGGAGTTAGAAATAACGACGGTAATTAGCTTCCCTTTTCTGGATGCCCTTTGTTGGGTTTTTTTTAAAGCCGGAATGGGAATAGGAATTATTTGCTTTGGATCTTTGTCAGGTGAGTACCTGGCACAACTTGGGGAGCCCTGAAAAAGGAAGGTTCAGCAGCAGAAGCCCCTGCTGCGAAATCACAGCACCTAACCAGAGGCTGGGAGAAAGACCTGTTTCAGCATAGCTCAAATGGTCATGCGAGAGTTATATGAAAAAAATACATTAAAGTTGCTTTGTGTACTCCCCTGGTGATTTGGGTACTGTGCCTGCACTGTCTGCTTGTGTTTCATTTGCTTCCTCGCCTTTGAAAACTCAGGAGGTGTCACTATTCATGGAGCTGAACTCTGAAGGTTTTATTGTTGGGAAAAGCTGAATTTGGGTGGCTGATAGGAGAGCTCTGAAGACTTGACTTAGTTTAAACTAACATCCATAAATGTTCATTACCTGTATTGAAAACGGAAGACTAGTCGTGCAGCTGCTCACTAGTGACTTTTCCGTAGAGTATTTTTAAGATACACTGTACTGATAATAGCATGAGGAGCTGCTTCTTGTAAGAGAGGAATTACATCTGGATTTGATAATCCTGCCTGACCTAGAAGAGATATATTTCAAACAACTTTTCCCTTGGATTTTTAAGAATATTTTGACTAGTGTCACAATAGAAAAAACTTCCAAAAAACCTATCAAAATTTTTAAAAAGTGACCTGAGTGCCCTTTTTTATTTTTTCCCAAGCAGGCAAATACTTTTTTTTTTTTTTTTTACCCCTGCACACACTCTTATAGCTGTGTTGTAGACGACAGTGGGGACTGGGGGTAACGGAAGGGGAAAAAAAAAAACAAAAACCCATGGTTTTTCCCTTCCCTGAGAAACTGTGCAAGATTTCCTCTAGGTAGAAGAACGGTGAGGGAGTCCTTAGGTACTCTAAGGATCTGACCTAGGCAACACCTGTTTAGCCAAAAGCAAAAGTCTTCAGATAAATGGTGATGTAAATGTGAGTGAGATTAGTCAAAGGCTATAGAGATGGGAGTTATACAACCAGTAAATTACTTATGTTTCCAGATACTCAGTATTAAGACAGTAAGGAACTGATAATATCGGCATAAAACCTACACCCATACGTGGCTGAGTAGGTGCCATACAAGCCAGTTGACACCTCGTGTGCATTGTTAAAACTCCAGCCATGAAACCCCACAGCAATTAGTATTGTTACTGTGGTACTTGTCCATGTACTTTGCTATAACATGTTCTCACATTGAGTGATATTCAATGTCCCACCCATGGTATGTAAGTAACTGATGCGAAGTATGTAAGAGAAGAGTGTTTGAAACCACGGTTTTGAAGGAAAACAGATGTTGAAATTACTATATTGCATGACATCTAGACAAGATGTGCCTTTCTTCTGGCTCATGTTGTCAGCTTATTTAATTTATTCAGCTATTTGGGTTCTTCAAAAATAAAGGTATTCCATTCACAGAAAATCTGGTCCTGAGATGAAGGCTGAATGCATATGAAACAGGGGTGTAGAAGGCTAAGCGTTTGACAGCTTGGAAAAATATTCTTGGGGACACTGAGTGAAGTTGGCCCTCAGCTGTTGAGCAGTACGGAACAGAAGTAAGACACTGTCCAGGAGCAACCCCCAGCTTCACAAAACACTCCTGCAATGGTCTGATACCTCTGGCTCTGTCTGCGAAGAAGGTGCTTACTGTCAAGCTGCGTGCAGCCTGTTTGATGTCACTGAGCTGTAGCTCTGTTTAGCTACTGGCATTCTGTAAATACAGTAATAAACCAACTGGTCCTAGGGAAGGTTTCAGCTAATTGTCATGACCTGTGGTGTCTAAAAATCTCCTGCTCCCTTATGTTAAGGGAGCCTGTTTGTAAATAGGGCAGGTCCTCTGCATAAGGACAGTGTTTTTATTCACACCCAATGAACAAACACCTCCACCCACTGTTGTTGTTTTAAAAGACTCCAGCTGCTCATGAATATAGGGTCAGGGAGGGCCGCCTAAATGTTTCTCTGTGCTTTCTCCCCAGTGCAGCCAGCAGAGCTGTTTCCTGTTCTTTGTTTCAAGGCTGGGGTTTGCGTCACACATTCCAAGTGGCATATGTGGTGCTCTTTCCTGTTTCAGGCTGTTTTCTGGCAGATCGGTAGCCTTGTCCAGGCCCCTTGTCACTGCCCCTCAACTCCCGATCCCCACCCAATGAGTTATCATGTCTCTACACACTCACGATTGCTTAAGATGCCTGTGTTATGTCATAATGAGGGTTCCAAGTTAACCTTTAACGCACGCCCTCGACTCCAATATAGTTATGGGGGTGGAGAGATTCGCTCCCTTCGCTGAAAACTTTTACTCAAGTCTCCAGAAACTTGTGAGCCAGTTTCTGCCTTCACTTGCTCATCAGCCGATCTGGAATAGATCCATTAAAGCCATGGAGCTACACTGGTGTAAAAAGAGTTTAAGTGAGAAGAGAATCCACATCTGCAGGCACATACTCATGAGGGGTTTGGCGTCTGCCCCTACCCAACCTGAATGGACCACCCTAAGCACTTTATATTTCCAGATCTCAAAAAGAAGAGGTGTTTTCTCATTATACAAACTAGAAGATGCACTGTCTTCCAGATGTAAAACAGAAAAGTAGGCACCGCTGGCTAGCTTGTCTTTGGAATAAATAGGTATGGCTGTCCCACATTTCATATTTTTGAAGGTGTAAAAATGAATTTTTTACTCCTCTTTTTATATTTGTCTTCCCCCCCCCCCC